GTGTGTGTGTGTGTGTGTGTGTGTGTGTGTGTGTGTGTGTGTGTGTGTGTGTGTGTGTGTGTGTGTGTGTGTGTGTGTGTGTGTGTGTGTGTCTTCCGAGTGTTCAACACAAGCGATACACGTGCACAGAAAGCGCTCGTTGTTGTGGCCACTCACCAACGTATTTGTAGAAGGGGATGGTGCACTCCTCATCATCGCCTGCGTACAGGTTGAACACGCCCTTATGCTGCAGACACACGCGCACGCAAACGTGAGCAGTCACCAGCACACGCAATCTGCACATTGGTTTCGTGCAACCACAAGTCGTTTGGCTTTGCCACACACACACACACAAACACAAAGTCATGCACACACACACACACAAGCACATGTACGCAAGCATGTATACATACATGAACGCACGCACGCGCACTGACCATGCTGAGCTTGACGTTGTTTGACTTGAGGCAATCGGCAACCACGTCCTCCTCTGCAAACACCTTCGAGCACTTTGGCAGATTCTGCCCGCTGGATGATGGCGCAGTCTTCGTATGCGTGTGCGTATGCGTGTGCGTGTGCGCGCGTGTGTGCGCGTGTGTGCGTGTGTGTGTGTACGTGTGGGGATGTATATACGTGGTTGAGAAGACATTGAATCAACCGCGTATCATTCAGCATATCTGCGACACAGCAAAGTGCTCGTGCGGCATGTGTTACCTTGCGGGACGGCCCTTTGCCTGCAAGCAAGAGCTCCGTCACAAACGAGGGGAACTGTTGCTCGCTCTGTCAAGGTGTGCGTCAAGATATCATGAAGGGGCACAAGGTTAGATCAGAGTGGCGGGCTCCACGATTAGTGATGGTTCAATCGACAGCATGAACGACAACAGTCCTCATAACAGCAAATCCCCCCGCGTCGTGAACACACGTGTTCCATCCTACGTGTTCCGCCCAACACTTCACACATAATCACACACGTACACACTCACACACACACTCACACACGTACACACACACACACACATTCCCACACACACGCACACACACACACACACACGCACGACGTACCCTGCGCATGTACTTTTGGCGAAGGAAGACGGCGTTCATGATCATGGTGGAAATGTCGCCCGTCTCAAGCTCGTGCTGGTGTTATCCAAACAACAAACAAGCCAATGCGTGCATGCAATGAGTCCAATGCACCAGAGGTGCTAACGATGCGGTTGCTAGTGGTGCAGGTGATGTAGACACACACACACACACACGAACACACACACACACACGAACACACACACACGAACACACACACACACACACACACACACACGCACGCACGCACACACACACAAAAAAAAATGTCACCACCGGCATACATTCTCACCTTCTCCATGCGTGTGAGGAGGATGCGGCGGAAGTCGACAGCAGAGGTGGCCTCCTTGAGGTCGGGGGCGATGGTGGTCATCGAGGTGAGGCGCTCGCGGCGGCGGACCGGCGGGGACAGCGACCCTTTGCTCGGCTCAGGGGCATCTGGAGGCTGCAGCTTCGCGTGCCACTTCAACAGCGCATCCTGGAGAGCGTGGACAAGGGACGAGGAGGTTTGGGGTGTGGGTTAGGAAAGGTTTGAAAGGGTGAGTGAAGAAAGGGGCGAGAGGATGGGGGATACAACAGACGAGGTAAGGGAAGGGAACAAACGCAACACACACATACACATACACACACATATGCAGCCAGGCTTACGTTGAGCTTCTTCTCTTCGGTGACGGTGTAGCGAGCGTCACCGGTCAGGCGGGCGGCCTGCAGCATCTCCTCCTCCTCGTCGGCTGAAACCTGCCGTGGAGTAGCAATTAAAGCAAGGGAAGGAAGGGAGCAAGGGAAGGGAGTTCAAGCACGAACCACACGCGTGTTAGTTCACACACACACACACGCACACACGCGCACACACTATCTCTCTGACTCACTCACACACACACACACACACACACACACGCACACACGCGCACACACCCGACCTGATCCTCTTCGTCGGAGACATCCTCGATGACGTCAGGCACGCCGCTCTGCAGGTACTTGAGGGCGCTGCTTGGCTGGGTCTCCATCAGCTGACGATACACGTCTTGCTGGTTCCTGTGGGTGTCAAAAGCAAGGTCCAAGGGCCGTTCGGAAATGAGGGTGAATGAAGCTGGTGTCACACCACACCACTGCAGGCAACAGCAAGCAAATGCACTCGTCGTGCAGTGCATGCAACGCATGGGACACCACAAACGAAGGGGATCAAAGCCGCAACAGAAGCCCTGTCACACAGCACACACAGGCATTCAAACAGCACACACACGCACGCACTGGCGTACCCTGGCAGGATGCAGACATCGCCGGAGGCGGTGTGGACGACGCCGACGTCCTTTGTCTTCTTGCTGCTGCTGCTGCTGCTGCTCTCCGCGCTTGTGTTGGGTTCCACGACCGTGGGCTTCTCTTCCTCCGTCTTCTTGGAGGCGTCTCCCTTGTCGGCCATGCTCACTGGCTCTTGTCGCAGTGGGGGTGGAGGGAGCGGTTCACTCACGTGCTACCAGCAAGGGCGCAATCAATCAATCAAGCAAGCAAGAAGCAAGGTCGATCTTGGATCTGGGCTGATGTGATGATGGCAATGCGGACGCTGTGCGGAAAAAATGACAGCACTCTCTCAGCTCAGCGCACAAAAGTCAGCGCACAAAAAGCGCACACGGCACAATGCAAGAAGGAAACAACGTCTTCTTCGAAAACGCACACAACGCGCACACGAAGAAGAGAAGAAATTGCGCGATTGCGAAATCGGGAAACGACAGCATGAACAGTAGTCGGATATGGCGGAGCGGCTCAACAAGCCCAGCAAGCACAACAAGCGCAGCAAGTACAACAAGCGCAGGAGCGTTGGGTTTGGTAGCTGTGCTGCCGTGTTGTGGCAGCGATTGCAAGCAGCACGCGCGCTGCGTCAGCGTGGACTTTGGCGTCACCACGCCACACATCCAAGGCAAGAAGCACAAGAAGCAGCACCAGCAGCACGACCACAGGCCAACACAGCATGAGCAACGACAGCAAGCAACGTCGTCTGTCACCGAAGAGGTGGATGGTGCCGCGCTGCCCCGGAAGCGTGCAAAAGGCGCGCTGACAGGAACACCAGCCAAACCAGCAGCTGTGCCAGCATCGGTACCAGCCGCAGGCACGCAGCGTGACAGGCTGTCTGCCTGTTTCAGTGCTTGTGAGACCTTCTATTCAACGCTGCCTCGTGAGCGCAGATGTGTCCACGACTCGCACACGTGCTTGACGCGAGAGCAGATCAAGACGCTCTCCAAGGACCCTTGGCCCGCAGCAACAGATCCAGGCACAACACAACAACTGCCGCCACTGAGGTTGCCAGACGCGAGCAGCGACAGGATGCCCATGCGCCTCACGACCACCGACCTCGCCAACCGCATCGTCTGCGTAATGTCACCGGAAAGGGTGGCCCACGATGAAAAGCAGCCTGCTGACGGCCAGGCAGAGGCGACCAACACCAAGCTCGATACGAACTGCGGTGCGTGCTGCTACCGAGCGCAGATTGACGACAAGGAGATACTGGTGCCATCGCCCTGCAGGTTCCTGCTGGCAAACATCCAACACCTGCGCCCGCACATGCAGGACCTTGGCGTCTTTGATCTCATTGTGATGGATCCGCCGTGGCACAACGGCTCTGTTCGCCGCGGGTCCCGATATGGTACCATGGATTACGACGCCATCATGGACATTCCCATCCCGTTTCTCATGTCGCCGCGCTGCCTCCTCGCCCTCTGGATCACCAACAACGACCGCTGCGCCACATTCGTCCACGTGAGTTGCAAGGAATGTGTGTGTGCGTGCTTTTGTCTGTGTGTGTGTGCGTGTGTGTGTGTATGCGTGTGTGTGTGTGTGTGTGTGTGTGCGTGCTTTTGTCTGTGTGTGTGTGTATGTGTATGTGTTTGTGCTTTTGTGTGTATGTGTGTGTGTATGTGTGTGTGTGCTTTTTTGTGTGTATGTGTGTGTGTGTGCTTTTTTGTGTGTGTGTGTGGTGGTGGTCACTAATGTGATGAATTCAATGCGGTCGTGCCGCAGTTCGCACCCGTGCGCACAAGCACACCATCACATACATAGACACAGACGCGCAGCCACACCACATTTGTGCATGCATGAGCTGATGCTGTTCCCTTGCGTGCTGTGCAGGAGAGGTTGCTGCCTCACTGGGGCTTGAAGAAGGTGACGGAGTGGAAATGGTTAAAGGTGACGACGCAAGGGGAGCCCGTGTTCCCGCTCTCAAGCCGCCACAAGCGCCCATATGAGGTGCTCATCCTCGCCACGAATGCCCCGGGCGCCTTTGAAACCGCACCAGCATACGGCATCGTCCACCAATGGCAGGCAGCGATGCGCCAGCAGCAGGACGAGGACAGGAGGGAGCAGCAGCAGGACGAGGAGAAACAGCAGAAATTGGAGACGAAGGAGAACGAGGGTGAGAAGCAGGAAGGTGAACAGCACCAGCAAGTTGCGAAATGCTCAAACCACACTGAACACTCACAGCAGGTCAAACATGCACCACCAGCTGTTGTGCAGCATGGAGCTGATGCCCCAATAGCGCTGCCTGCGGACCTGCGCATTGCCGGCGTGCCCTCGCTCGTGCACAGCGAAAAGCCGCCCGCAATTCACCGCTTGCTCGTGTCGTTGCTGACACGCGGCTCGAACACATCTCCTTTGCGACAGCAGCAGCAGCAGCAGCAGCGGCAGGAGGAGGATGGTGTGCTTGCAAGCACACCACGACAACGCCCGCGGTGTCTGGAAGTGTTTGCGCGGCGGTTGCACCGGCATTGGACGAGTGTTGGCAACCAGGTCTTCAAGCTGCAGGACGTGCGCCTGTATGACGCTTGAGCAACGTGCGTGTTGTGGTGTGTATGTTTGTATGTGTGAATGAATGTAAGTATGCCTGTGTGTGTCTGTGTGTGTGTGTCTGTGTGTGTCTGTGTGTGTGTGTCTGTGTCTGTGTGTGTCTGTGTGTCTGTGTGTGTGTGTGCAAATATATGTACATATGTGTCTGTGTGCGTGTGTGTTGTGAGAGAAAGACGTGTGGTTGTATCAGTTCAAAGCACTCAGCCATCTGCGTGTTCGTTCCCCACACCCACCCACGCCCTTGTTCACGAAGTTGTGTATGGGACGGGCGTTTATGGTGATTGATGGTTCTGTCAAACCAAGGAACAAAGTGAAACGAGAGAAAGAAGGAAGCAAAACACGACCCAAAAAACGAACAACAGAAGCGACCATTCGTGCCATGCCATGTACACCACAAACAGGCATCACGCGTGCCGCAGTATCGTCATGCAAGTCATGTCAGCAGCAAGCTTTTCTGTAAGCAGTCCAATCCAACAACAACAACAACAACAACAACAACAACAACAGCAGCAGCAGCAGCAACAACAACGACATACATGCATGCACATGCAAGCATGCGACAAGTACGAGTTCAAAATGCAGCAACGCAAAACGACAATCAGCGAGGAAGGAAGAGGGTCAGCGGGGAAACAAAGTGTGGAAACAATGCTCAGAGGAACAGGAAGAAGGAAGAAACGTGCTTAGTTCCACATCAAACACGCGGTTGGTTGTAGTGGTACAGCGTCATGCCAGGAGATCAAAGATGGGAGCAGCCACGTTTTGGCGGGAAGAGGGGCTGCTGCCTGTATTGGCGTCAGCGTTGGGGGATGTGTTCTCGTCATCCTCCGTGATGCAGGCGAGGGCGGGACGTGCACGCGAGGGACCTGTGTGTTGGTACGGCGGGCAGCGAGTGGGCCGAACAGTGAGCGCAGGTGCACAACAGTATCAACACGAAGAGAAAGAGAAACATGGCAAAGAACACAAAAGACTGGGAATGGATGCACGTGTTCCTCGAGTGAGTGTGCCCAACACAGAAAGCGCACGCGCTTACACGCAGACGCACACACACACATACACACATACATACACACACACATACACACACACATACACACACACACACTCACTCACGTTTGCGGGAGGACATGAAGAGCGGAGTGGATGTGCAAGGGCGCGGAGTGAGGTTGATGAGGGCTGGCGAGGGTGCACAGCTGTCAGCGTTGTCACCGCCACGCTGCGGTGTCTGTTGCGGCGTCTCGCACGTGAGCAGCGCAGCCAGATTGCTGTTGGGCGTGAGGGCGCGAAGACTGCTGCGACGACGGCGCGTTGAGCTCGCATTGACTGGCGTACAAGGAATATCCTCCTCCTGCTGCTGTTGCTGCTGTTCAGTGGCGTGGTGGGCTGCACCATCAGTGGCATTCTGCTGTGCTGTCGCATCGGCTCGCACATCAAGGGCCGGGTTGGGTTTGTATGCAAAGTTGGGCTGCTCAATGGCAGTGGAGAACTCCATCACCGTGTTGGCATTGCGGTACTTGCTGGGCGTCTGCGAGAATGTTGGTGCAGAGCAGACGACACATACAAAGGTCAGAGAAAGCAAATACAAGGGCACACGCGATCGAAAACTCGACCCCACCACCAGCCATACGCCACCCACAGCCCCATCACCACCCAAAACAACAACAACAGCAACCATGGCCAATATTTCCATCTGCGTACCGTGCGCCGGGAGCGACGAACAGGGGTGAAGATGACCTCGGCGCCAAGGCTCTCCCGCTCCGTCTTGGAGGCGCGCACGGGGGTGAGCAGCATGCTGTTGTTGCGGCGGGCGCCAGCAGCTGTGCGGCGCTTGCCAGAGAAGAGTGGCGTGATGGGCGCAACCATCGCAATGCCGTTACCGTTGTCATCGTTGTCCGTCTCAACATCGCTGTCATCGCGGAGCGAAAGGCGCGCGTTCTTGCGGCGTGGGAGGGCATCAGCAGCAATTGGCGACGCGGCCGTGATATTGTCAGCGATGAGCGCATCAACCCCGTTGGCCACATCGTCCAGGGATGGTGGCGGCACGGGTGCTGGCAGACTCGCGGGCTTGGGTGCAACAGCGAGCTCAATCTGCGGTGACGCCTGGAACCGATTGCAACGAAACGTGTGCACGAGAACAGGTTAATATGGGTTGGGCATGGTGTGTGTTTGTTTGTTTGTTTGTTTGTTCGATTGCTTGTTTGTTTGTTTGTTCGATTGCTTGTTTGTTTGTTTGTTTGTTTGTTTGTTTGTTTGTTTGTTTGTTTGTTTGTTTGTTTGTTTGTTTGTTTGTTTGTTTGTTTGTTTGTTTGTTTGTTGTGTGTTTGTGTGTATGTACAACAAGCAACACTTGATGTGGGTTTGAATGTGTTGTTCGTGACAGTGGTGGTGCTCACAGTGGCAGCTGTGCGCTTTTCGGCGCGCTTCTTGGCGAGAAAGGCGGCGACAGCAGATGAGGGCTTGCCCTTGCGCGCCTTGCGAACGACCCTGATGGACAAGAAGTGCAGGAGTGAATGGACAAAGTGTCAGATAAACGACAGTAGACTCACACACTCATGAAGAATTCTTCAAGAAGCGATAGGGGTCCGGTTTGCCACCGTCGCTGCTCACAGCGCCAATTAATCACTCACACACACTCCACACACACACACACTCCACACACACACACACACGCACACACACACTCCACACACACACGCACGCACGCACGCACGCACGCACACCCGCACGCACACACGCACGCACGACGATCAGCACGCACTTCTTCTTTGCTTTGCGCTTCTTTGGCGCAGCAGGCTCCGGTGTCTCCTGCTTGTGCTGCCAGTTGTTGCTGCGAATTTCATCCAGCGCCTTGAACATCGCCTTGATGTCCATCACCTGGACAAACAGAAAACATGTTGTTTTGCGTGCAGCGCAAATGGATGAGGGTCGAAGGTGGTGCTGCTTTGTGTTTTATGTCACAGACACGCTCCATGGAGTCATGTAAAGGGTTACCTTGTCGCAACACACCATACACCACACACCATACAAACAAGTCACACACCTGAGCTTCGACGCGCGCGTCCCAGTAGCCCTGAAGATCGTCCAAGCGGACAGTGGCGTCGTCGTTGTTGGCGTTGTGGCACAGCTCCAGGTACTGTGACAAACAACATGCACACACAATGCATGTTCGTTTGGTGAGGACCGTTGTTGCAGTGGTGTGCCACCATGACACAACACAAGCGCGTCCTCATAGAGCACACACACACACACGCACACACACACACACAACACACACACACACACACACACAAACTCACAAACACACCTTGGGCATGAGCTTGCGCATGAGAAGCTCCGCCTGGCCGAGGGCGCGGTTGATTTCGCCCTCAAGCTCACTGTTCACAGCAGTGGCCTGTGTGTGTGTGTGTGTGTGTGTGCGTGCGTGCGTGCGTGCGAACCTTTGAGCGTGTGTGTGTGTGTGTGTGTGTGTGTGTGTGTGTGTGTGTGTCTGTGTCTGTGTGTGTGTGTGTGTGTGTGTGTGTGTGTGTGTCTGTGTCTGTGTGTGTCTGTGTCTGTGTGTGTCTGTGTCTGTGTGTGTGCGTTATGTTCGCATGGAAACTTGTTACTCTTCAATCGGACACAGAGAGTGATGACTGCACACATTACCTTGATGAACTGCTCCATGGTTTTGAATGGCGATCGCGCTCGCCCGACAATAAATGGCGGCTTTGCGTTTGCAGTGGCCTGCTCCTGTTCTTGTTGTCTCTTCTCCTCGCGCGCCTGAACAGAAATCAACAGCGCAAACCACAACGTGAGGCGGTGACATGACGTGTGCAAAGGCAAGAAAAAGGAAAAGGTAGGCTGTGTGCATGTGCAAAACGTGTGCAAGCCGCAGGATCAAACGACAGAGATCGGTAGGTGTACCTTTTGCCAGATTTGCAGTTTCTGTCGGCGATCCATCTTGGGCACTGAGGAAAAGGGAGAGAGTGTGTGTGAGTGTGAGTGTGAGTGTGTGTGTGTGTGTGTGTGTATTTGTGCGTGAATGCACGGGTGAGTGAGTGAGTGTATGTATGTGCGTGAGTATGTGTATATGTATGATTGTATGCGCATGTGTGAGTGGGATGAAGCAAAGAAGGGGTGAGAAGGTGCCACGAATATGCATGCAAACTGGGAGTGGTGCGTGTGTGCAACGCAGCCACCCCAACGCAACGGAACGCACTTGTGCTAAAGTCGACGAGCGAAGTGTTGGTGGACTCCATGTCCCTATTTTCGTTGAGGCGCTGTTGCCGTGTGACGGAGCGTTGGTGTTGCCTTCGAGTCTGGCGTGAGTTCTGAAGGACTGCAGGCGTGGTCGACGGCATAGGAATAGGGGGAGTGTGTGAGGCGGGGGGGGAGTGTGTGTGTGGGAAATGTGCATTGAAGCATGAAAGTGTAAACACATGACGCACGTTCTTGGTTTATCTTTGTGTACGCGTGCATGAGTGTAGCCACGCACGCCCACGCACAACGACAAGCTAGCGCGCACAAGCACACACAGACGAGCACATCTGCTCATATCTCCCCACGTCCCTCCCAACGCACACACACACACACACACACACACCTTCTGAGGAGCGCTCGAAGCGCTGTTTGAATTGGTGAAGGCGGGCGCTGCGCCGTGTCGTGGGCATGATGGCAACTGGCGTGCACGCTACTGCTTGAGAGGTCAAGGGGCAGGCAGGTGGAGGTGGGAGGGGACGCGATCAAGCGAAGGGAAGAAGGATGACGGTCTGGATGCGGTCGGTGCGCCAGATTCATTCAGTGCGTGCAGTGCTGTGTGCTGTGTGTGCAGAGAGAGGAGGAAATGTCGTGTGTGGGGGGAAATCGTGGTTGCGACAACAACCAACCAGCTTTTTTTGAATTTCGCGGCGAATGTGGCCGTGGCATAGAAATAGCATGGTGAAAATTGACCTATAATTTCAACCAACATTCCGAGCGTGTGGTGTTGTGTGTGCGATCGCACGACAACCGCGTGTGTGCATCCTTTTCTCTTCGCCCACCTTGCTTCACTCGCTGCCTTTCAGCTTCTCCTGTGGATCCACACCCACTGCGCCCGTCCTTGTTTGCCGCATCGCTGTTTGAGTCAGCCCCCCCCCCTTGCCACTTTTCCTTCCGCACCTTACCCTCCACGCCCCCATACTGTTGCGTCGCACCAGCCAAGATGTCCATGCTTGAGCGCAAGTCGTCCGAACAGGAGCAGCCAAACAACGTGCGTGTGTGTGTGTGTGTGTGTGTGCGTGTGTATGTTCTTGTTGTGTGTGTGTGTGTGTGTGTGTGTGTGTTCTTGTGTTGTGCGTGTATGTTCTTGTTGTGTGTGTGTGTGTGTGTTCTTGTGTTGTGCGTGTATGTTCTTGTTGTGTGTCTGTGTGCGTATGCTCTTGTTGCGTGTGTCTGTGTGCGGATGCTCTGCGTATACGCGTCGCCCTCCCTTGCAGAACCGCACACAGAGTGACTCACTCAATCAGTCTCTTCTTCTCCCCCCCCCTCTTTGCTCTGTCATCAACCCTGCAGCAATGCGAGTTGGCTGTCCCCATTGGCCCTGAGCCGGAGCACAAGCTGTGCGACACGTGGTGCCTGTACTACGACAACCCCATGGACCTTCCCCGCAACCCCACAGATGAGCAGTACAAGCAGAACCTCAAGAAGGTGTGTGGGTGTAAATGCGAAGTGGGTGTGTGGGTGTGTGGGTTTTGTTGGTGGGTGTGTGGCAGTTGTGTCCTCGTCGCTGTCATGTTGCTGCGTGCACGTTTTCGCCCTTCCTTCCCCTTCCCTCTGCCTGTGAATGTTCGTGCTGATGCTTCCTTTTTCCGGTGCACTCAACACTGCACATGACCGTGACTCGAAACAGGTGTATGTGTTTGACACGCTGGAGCAGTTCTGGCGCCTGTACAACAACATCAAGGCCGTGGAGGAGATGAGCGGCTGCAACTTCCACCTCTTCAGGGTGTGTGTGTGTGTGTGTGTGTGTGTGTGTGTGTGTGTAAGGTAGACTTGTGCGCTTTTGCTTCTTGCACGCATGCGTGTGTGCACCCTTGGTGCCTGTTTTGTCTTCGTCTTTGTTCAACCCTTTCCTCCTTCACCCAACCACGTGTGCTTTCATTTGTTTACAATGTAGAATGGCGTGTCGCCGACCTGGGAGGATCCCTTCAACGAGCGCGGTGGCAAGTGGGTGTGCCAGGTTGGCATTTCCAACGACCTGTGGATGCGCACCATCTTGAGCGTGATTGGCGGTCTCTTCGGCGAGTATCAGGACCATGTGTGCGGCGCTGTGGCCGCTCTCAAGAAGTCCAAGAAGCGCGACCGCCTCAGCCTCTGGCTCAAGGACGTGTCTGACAGAGAGGCCTGCATGGCGATTGGGTGCGTATGATGATGGTCGTGCTGCTGCTGCTGCTGCTGTTGTTGTTGTTGCTCCTTCCTGCTTCTTCCAAGTCTTTGCTGCGCCTTGTCCTATTTTATGTGTGTTGTGTCGACTGTATCACTCATGGGCTTCCCCACATTCGCTCACGTGTCTTCCTCCCTCTCCCCCGGGTCCTGTTCTGTTTATTTCTGTTCAGCCGCAAGTGGAAGGATATTTGCAGGGAGCTGGGCAAGATTGAGTTCCTTGTAAGTTGGTTGCACCATCGCAGCTGTATTGCTTCGTGCACATGCACACTCACGCACACTCACACATATGCACACACGCACACACTCACACATATTCACACGCACGCATGCACGCACGCACGCACGCATTTCTCATCTCCCAAACCCCCCCCCCCTACACACACACCCTCACACATATGCACACTCACTCACACACACATATGCACACGCACGCACGCATTTCTCATCTCCCAACCCTCTCCCCCTCCCAACACACACACACACGCGTCCCTCGCATCTGTCACCCTCCCAACAGCCTCATCAGGTCGCACAGAAGGCCAAGTCCAGCTACTTCTCTGAGAGCAAGTACATGATCAACTAGGCAGATTCCACACACACACACCCCTCTCTCTCTCCTCCCTCTCTTCCCACACGTTCTATGCGCGCTGTGGTGGTGTTCTGTTTTTGGTGTGCGCGCACGCGGTAGCTGTGCGCGCTTTCTTGGTGTACATGTACATGGCTTAATGGAAATTGCAGCCCTTTGCAAGTCTTTTGAGCCAGTTGCTTGCTTGCTTGGTTCTGTTCCTTTGCCCCTGCCCCCTCTCTCTACTTCTCTTCCTTCCTCTCACCACCCTACGATTGAGCCAGTGACATGTTGCTTCCTCGCGCGCTATGTGCACGTGATGCCATAGCATCCTTCGTGTGTGTTGCTTCTCTGTTTTCCTCCGCCGTGTACGACGCCGGTTATTCCGAGCTGTCGTTGCGGAGATGTGCGTTGTGCGTGTATGTAATTGTGTGAGTGCGCCCCTCATTTGCGCGACGGTCGCATTAAACACCAGACAAGTCGCGCTGTGGCTCTGGATGCGTTTATTGCGGCTCATAATTGTAGTGTGGTGTGGTGGTGTGATGTGACACGCAAACGCAACATATGACATGTGACAACATCACATGCGTGAGCAACAAACGCTTCCCTCAACCCAGACCCAAGGACCCATGGCCTCGCTCCTTCGCTCGCTCCCTTCCCCTCTCAAGCCTTCAAGCTCCCTTCAGTGCCTCGTGCGGCGCCTGTGTGGCGGCACGTAGACCTCCGTTTGCCTTTGCTCCTCCTGGTCCTGGGTACCTTCAGTGCTACGTGTGGTTGTGAGCCCATCCAGGCCGGGCGGGGTAGAGACGCTGCGCGTGTGGCGGCGGCGGCGGCGATGCAGATGTTTCTGATCGCCACCGTGGCCCCAGCGAGCATTGGGATGAGGATGATGTGGCTGCCTCCCGTTTGGCCTGCTCACTCCGCTGTTGCGGCGGCGTGTCTCCGGTGAGGCCGGAGCAGAGGTTGTCACGGGAGTGTTTGCGTAAGCACGCGTATTGCCACAGTTGGCATCATAGCCGTATCCATAGCCGTCGCCCAGCATGTGCAATGATGAAGCACTGCTGTCAACAGAGGAGTCACGGGTGTTGCTGCCACTGCTGCTGACGCTGTGGTCGTCTTGGTAATCCTGGTAGTTGGAGTTCATGAACGACGAGAGTTCGCGCTCACCGTGGCGCTGCAGCAACCTGCCCATGTTCGTGGCTGTCTCACCATCCTGCTCACATGTTCGTTGCTGACGTTGCTGACGTTGCTGGCGGTGGTGATGATGGCGGTGTTCGTCGCTTCTGCTGCCTCCGCTTCCTTTGCTGTCTCCGCTTCCTCTGCTGCCCCCACTTCCTCGTTTGTGCCTACCAACACCACTACTTCTCCTGCTGCTGACGGTGGTGGTGGTGTGCTGTCGGATGCGCGTCCAGAAGGTGACTTTGGCGGCGCGCTCCTCGCCGAGCACGCGAAGCGCCCACTGCTCCAGCTGTGCGCTGAGCGGCACCTGGTGCATGAGCACGAGCCCAGGGCCGTGCATGTCCACGTACTTTCGCAGCTTGCGCCCAAAGTCGTGCAGCAGCCGCGGGCAGGATGTCCTCGGGAAGGTGAGCCCGGACTTTACGTCAATCCACTGCACGCATGCACCGTTGATGGTCGTGGGCGAGTGGAACTTGATGTCTGGGGTGGCCACGTTTGTCTCGTGCGTCTTCTTCATCTCGGCCTCCACCAGATACGCGCTGCGCGGCACGCCCATGGCCGCCAAGTCCGCCGTGAGCTGCACCTCCGCGTGCGTGGCCTGGCGCGGCTTCGTCTGCGCGTCCCTGTACGTGTATGCGGAGATTTTGTCTGTCTTGCTGCGGTGCGTGACCTGCTCGAACCAGAACCTGCGGTTTGCCTCGTCCGTCTTGGAGTAGTAGCGTTTCCCCTTGACGCACAGGGCGCCCTCCAGCGCAATCTGTTCCAGCTCCTTGTCGGCAGCCACCATCGCCAGCCATTCTTCCTCTGTAAACTCGGGTAGCGCAGCGGTGCGATCAGTGTCCGTGATCATCATCATCATCATCATCATCATCATCATCATCACCATCATCATCGTCGTCGTCGTCGTTGAATGTGGAGTCAGCATCGTCGTTGCCGTCATCAGCATCGTCGTCATCATTCCTGTTCTGCTCAAGACCATCCTCATCATTCTCGTCGTCGTCGCTGTCAACGGCGGCGTTGCGGAGGCATTCGCGCGCCTGGAGGACGAGGGCAATGCGCTTGCGGTTGTGGACCATGAGGCGAAGAAACGCCTCGTCCTCCACAATGTGGAAGAGCTCCGTCTTGGCGGTGGGGTCGAGGTGGTGCGGCGTGAGGCAGAAGTACTTGCTGAAGAGGCCGCCAACCAGCGCCATGCCCAGCGCAGTGACGCCAATGTTGTGCCTGCGGGCAAGCGTTTGCAGGTTCAGTTCGCGGCGGCGCCCGCGCGTCTCCCGAAACTCGTGCTGCCTGCGGTAGAGCGCCTGCATGTTGAGGTTCGACATGCGCTTCTGCCAGTCCATGAACAGCGTGACAACGAGCGCCTGCCTGCTGTGGGCAAAGGCGGGGCGGAGCTGGCGATTCAACGCAGAGAACGCGCGCTCCCCAACAGCAGCGCGCACGTCCTTGTGGCTGTGGCACGGCTGATGCACGTCCACAGGGGTTGGCAGCGACTGGAAGATGCGCTCGATGACTTGGTCGTCCACGCGGACATCCTGCCGCCAATTCGGGTTGACGTAGCTGGTGCTGGTGCTGGCTGTGGGGGTGATTGCCGGCTTGATGGTGGAAGTGGAACTCAGGGAACTGGAGGGCATGTCGAGGCAAGGGGTTGGATCAGGTGTGGGAAGAAGCCCTTCTGGCTTGTATGCGTAGGTCTGCTGCTCTTGGCGAGGAGGGTAATGGGACCGAGAACGGTTGTCGTTCATGCTGGTTGTATTGGGATCAGAAGGATGAAAATGAAAGGAACGTGGGAACGGGAATGTTGTGGAGACGGGTGGGAAGTCTGGTTTGTAGACTAGCTGAGCGTTGTCGACGAGAGCTGGCTTGTTCAAACTGGCCTAAACTTTAGTTGTTTGGTTCCTGGCAATAAGTTGAGGCTGCAACGGGGGAAGGGGGAAGGGAAAATGGTCGCTTGAGCACAGCTGTTGCGGTTTGTTGCAGCAAAGTGTTGTGTCTGTAGTAGGCTGCTGTGTCGGTGTATCTGACAGTGCAGTTGGCTTTGCGGACAACAGAGAAGGAATGTGTGTGTCCCAAGCTGTTTTGTGGGCGGGGTTGGGGTGTGCGTTGCACAGTGTTGCTGTGTGTGGATGTCTTCTTGTTGAGTCAGGTCGGCTGGTGAGTCAGTGCCAGTCTGCTGTCTGTGGGGTATGGGACTGTGTTGTTTCCGGATGTGTCAGTTGGAGTTGCTGCGAAGGTTCGAAGGTTCAGGCTTGTCGCTGTTGGTGTTGGTGTCAGTGTGAACGTGTGTGTGTGTGCTTTCGTGGCTGGTGGAGCTGACACAGACTTCTTGGGGGTTG